GTTATGCGTTGAAGTCTCCCATTGATACCGTATAGTAGGTTTTGGAGGAATGCATGGCTCTAGAGATATCCTCATATATTTCTTCCACCCCCTCATCGGGATTTGCCGAGGTTGGTGTATGACCTGCAGCGAATACCGTTTGGTGATTTTGAGTATAAGGTATGCAACATTCGTCGACGAAATCCGACACCTTGGGACAGCTGGTCTTCCTCCCGCTGATAGCACAAGTTGCCAGATTCGAGGATTACCGTGTCATCCCCCTCTCTTCGAACCTCAGATAGTTCTAAAATACCCCAGCGCAACTTGTCTATCTCTTCTTCTAGCTCCAGGATCTTATTGTCAGTCATCGGGGTGTGTGCGTTATATGTTGTCTTAGGTGGCAGCCAAACCTCCACCTGAGATTCTTAGTATCTCCTGCCCCGCCGTTACCATGGTCGCCACCTTAGCCGGGAATAGCGGGGCCGCCGAGAACTGCTCATAGGGGTGTATATTGCCATTGTTGCCACGTTTGGCAAGTGGGTTTGCAACCGCAGTTTTTTATTGCTTTTTGCTGTTATCAGAAAAATGCTGCTGTCTCAGTTTCCCTCTGTCGCCTCTTAAGACACCTACGGGAAGATATGGGGTAGTGGGTATTCTTGCCTGCCACCTATACGGGACCTAATTATACGAAAAATTAAATATCAATTAAGAACAATTTGAAAATAAATATTTGTTTTGTTTTACAAATAAGGATGGATAACAAACGATTTTAGTCCACCTGGTGATTAATCGATGCTATTTTCAGTCACAAACATCTATCATCATGTATCCTTGATAAAGAATCAAAATGCATATTCATTGTCACCCCTGAGGACAACGATGAAATGCGTTAACCGCAAAAAGAGTCTTTGGCTTTCGTCATTTACCAAAACACATAAAGCCTAATGTTGCTACTTAACCCTGTACTCGTGAGTGAGTACTTATTCATGCTGCTGCTATGCGCGTGACCTTATCATGTATATTTTTTGCTTAGCCGATTGGTGGCTTTCTTTGTACATATATAAATATTATGTTATTAACTATTGTATCGTTTATAAATCCATCTCACTTACTCTTAAAATTTTAATTTTGAAAAGGCCTGCTTACATCTCGGCTAACAGCTGCACATAATCTTAGTAAGATTTTAAAAGCGGTTAACAGTCCACCACCCTTTTAGTGTGAAGTAGTGGATTCAATGTGTGTTTGAATTGAGTATACTTTTAAATATTACTTAAAAATGGCACACTGTTTAAGAAAGGGATAACTTTGCATTGGCCCATATTTTAAAGTTGGGTAATACATTAAGTTATACCTAATTGAGTATTATTTCGGCTATACCCGATAGGTTTAATCAACACAATTAGAAATCAGTTTTGTGATTTTGTGTTATAATATGCATATGTTATTTTAACCCCTCAGCACTCCATTACTAGTGAAGAAGACGGGACCGAATGTGGAGGTGGAAAACTTTGAGTTCACAGCAAATCGTCTCAGCGGTCTCGTGGCTGCGTACGCCTTTGAAAACCGTAAGAGATTTCCGATTGTCACATCCAGTGAAGCAATAGCGCTGGGGCTAAAGTGGGACAATTGCAATACAGAGAAATGTAAACTGTACCTATCTGCTGTCAGTGGTAGCGAACATTTCTATGATCAGTTCGCATATTGGCCTTTGATATGTGCTTTGAGGAAACTGCAAATGAAAAAGATCACTCTAGAACCTGTTATAAAAATTGCTAAAATTAAAAACAAAGATGGCGTCCGAATGGCTAAAGACCTAATGAATAATCGTGCTACGGTATATCGTCTATGGATGCATTTCCCGGGCGCCTCGAATGTTGATCTGAAATGCTTGCTTCAGACTGCACCTGTCCAATTGAAAAATATTTTAACGGCAAACGATTGATTGATTATTTGTTGACTGTGCTTCATTGCACTCAAACCAATCCACTTGATGTTTTGTTTGTATTGAGTTAAAGAGACTCTTAGACAAATGCCCGTAAGATCAGATATTTTATATTAATTTTGTAACTAAATATTCATGATCTATTTTCTATATTACAGGTATGATTAATATGAGATCATTAATCAATAACTGTTTAAAGTCTGAATCCATTAAATATATTTACTTTTAATTAAAGATATTTTAGATTAAGTACTCTCCAATTGGAAAATGACTTAACAGCAAATGATAATATGCCTACTTGCTTTGACTATGCTTCATTGCACTGAAAATTAAATTAAAATTTGTTTATATTAAGTTAAGTAAAAATTAAATTGTTTATTGTAATTAAGATGAGATTTTAATTTTGTTAATTATATATTCATGACTTATTTTCTATATTAATCATGATAATGTGATGATATTCTGTAATCAATTACTGTGTAAAGTCTGAATCTATTAAATATATTTACTTTTAATTTGAGATATTTTAGATTGTTAAGTAAGAGTATGATAATAAATATTTTTGTATGGACCATTCTTATGTACACTAGGCTAACAATCTGTTTTGTAAAATTTTTGAAATAAATAAAACTGTTATTTTTAGAGCATTTTATTAATTTCAAAAAATAACTAGTATATGACCATGCAGTACTACTACATTCAAAATATACTATGACAAAAATACACAAGTTTATAACTGATAGCAAACTGCATGTGGAAATTACAAATAAAACTAATATTTTCATATATCAATTCAGTTCCTATAGATCACTTTGTAATTTATTCTAGCAAAATCTGTAGCGATTTACTCTTTCATCCATTTATTTTCTATTTATCTAACTACTTAATGTCTAATATTTTTACAATGTAAAAGTTATATGGACAAAGTTTCCGCACTGCACGCCATTGTTATGTTGTTGTATTAAAGTAATAAATCAACCAAGTCCGGCTTGATTCCTATGGAAATAATGCCATCACAAAATCACAGAGCGCACAATTCGGTGTAACTAGCGGAATTATTCCTAAAACGAAACTGCGTCACACGTTTACATTAAATTATAATATAAAAACGACGATGGCAAAATGTTAATACAAAAAAAAGGAAACTAAATCATCCCTAAATATGCTAAACCACGTAAGGACTAGTCAATAACGTTTCATTAAACCTTAGCGGCCTTATTACAAAAAGTGGTTTATATCTCGTCTTAGGTTTATACTACAATTAGTTTCACGAAAGAAGTCTCGTGGAAATAAACAAACTAATATGATAAAACAAGGAGTTTCACACAAGGACAGCGGCGCAACAGGGACGTCTTTAGTCATAAGGACTTAAACTAAAGACCTATCAACGGTCCTACCGATAGAATTATCAGTAGACCTATCAAATAAAGGAGATATATCAATAAATCACTTTTTGTATAAGACAGGATGAGTGTGTCAAATGAACAAGGAAAGTTCTATCGAACCCAACATACACTTTAAAGTCGTCTAGTTCAATTTTACACATCCAGAACATCAAAACTGTAATATGTTGTACGGGATATTCTATAAAGGCACATGAACTGACCACTTTTTATTGGATTAAATAACTGTATGCTATTGAAAGAGACGTCGAAACATTAATTCCGCGTGTAGTTCAAATTCAACCCCAGTACGCAACACTCACTGAATAGTCTGTGGTGAAAATCTTTTACGTCTGGCCGTTTCCATGTCATTTTTTTATTTGTTAGTACTTTGAGCTCATTCAATCATTCTTGAACTTGCCAATTTTTGTTTCAAGCAGGTTAGTTAACATTCACAATTGAATATCATTTTCTTAAAATAGGTATTTCAAATGACGTTATTTTTAAATTAATTATTAAATAAATGACATAATAGTCGTAATATTAATGGTCATTACATATTGATGTTTTCACAATACATAACTATCAAAATATAAGTACAAGTACTGGCTCTTCTGACCATCATCTTTATTAAAAAAAATATAATATATTATATATTTATTGCGAGATTTCGTATTTGCTTTGTCCAAACTATAATGATAAAACAGATCCACTGAAGTTTGACCTCATATTCAAACATTTTGTATATGCATGCAATTTTAATGGAACACATAATTCTTTTTTGTCACATGTTGTCTTTAATTGTACCAATTAGGTATATAAGTATATGTAAACATCAATTTATATGTAAATTTTATAATATAATATACAACAATATTAATATTATACATGACTTCTATCGTAAAATAATATTTTTCAATCACTTGCAGGCGCAGCACATTATTTTATAACGAACAAAATCAAACTTTAAAGCAGTATGTTTTTATTAAAGTTTCATATTTTACCCTCTTGTTTAAACAATTTTGCAAATATATACGAATATAAAATGAACATGAGTCAGTCACTGACTCAAGTGTTCAGTATTGAAATTAAAAATAACTGCAAAAAACATATGATAAAGCTTCAACATACCAAGCATAGTGAAAACATAATCTATATCACTTTGTGCATATTGCAAAAGTCTTTATTATAGCTATTTCAGGGTAAAAGCACCCAAACAACGAAAGCGTGTATAATTAGCCTCAATATTCTTAAAAATCCATTTGACACCTCGATTAAACTTCAATTACGCTAATATTCCTCTAGATGTATAATGACTTGTCTCTGACAGCATCCGTCAAACGCATGTCAGGTGTCAAAATAAAGCTACGTTTTGGGCGCTATGTCCAATTGTCAAACCTGACGACATTTTTGTCACAATTATTACACTCAATATGATTAATTTTATAGCGAACCTTATCGTAAGACTACGTATATTCTTATTTTAACACCTAGATCAAATCAACCAAACTTTTAAGATAATTGGTTTCAAAAATGTATATAATCACAATATTTTTTTTTTATATAGAAAAACGGAAAATATAACTGAAATTATTTTAAGTTTTAATAGTGAGGTGCGATTTAGTGATGTGGACAGCTTGAAAGACCTTGGACTTATGACATTTTCAAAATTTGAAAAACAATATTTTGAGTTATATTCAGTGTGTTATAATAGTGGAGTGCAAGCATTGTGGAACAACGTGTCTATATGGTAGCCTGTAGTTTTTAACAGTGCGTGCGGCGAGGCACTTGAGCGTGGTGTACTTAAGTGGGTTTACTATGGCGGTGAGACTCTGCTGGGTAGATTTCAGGATCTCTTCGGGCGTTTCGCCTTCGTAGTTGACTGTGTCGATGTGAGCGCCGTGAGTGAGTAAGGCGCGCACAACATCCGACGGACAGGGGTTTAGCTGCAAACGATAACAAATATATTTCAAACCGTGTTTAATAATGACGCCAAAGCGCTATAAAATGACAGGTGTGTATACAAGATTGGGTTTAAATATATGTACAATATAATGAGATTACGTGCTTGTACATGTTTGTGCGTACACAAACAGTCGTGTACACACGAGATGTTTATTGCTCAGGTCAATCGATTATTAAGTTTTATTTTTTATGGAAAAGTGGGCAAAATTGTTCATAGTCTGCGATCGACACAAGGAATGAGACTATGAGCAATTACATAACCAGATATGTTGATAGCTTTTTAAAAAAGATAAGCTCGTTTCTTGCAGTTACCTAAATCATCGGTTTTGAAAAATCACCGTGCAGTGGTTTGAGTTGTGTTTGTGTGCGTGCTTAATTTGCAGGCGAGGTGCGCCTGTGTGTGGGTTGCAAGCGAGGTGCGCGTGTATACGTTGCAGGCAAAGTATATGTGTGCGTGTGCATGCGTAGCTCGTAGGCGAGGTGCAGTGGTGTGCCTATGTACGTTGCAAGTGAAGTGTGTGTGCGTGCACGTGCACACTGAATGCATATATATGTGTACGTGAGCACGTGGGTATACCTTGCAGGCGAGGTGCAGCGGCGTGTTGCCGTCCGCGTCGCGCGCGTCGGGCGCGGCGCCCAGGCGCAGCATGAGCGCGACGAGCGCGCCGCAGCAAGGCTGCGCGTCGCCGGGCGCTGGCAGCCACGCGCCCGAGCCGCCGCGCGCGCGAGCGCCCTCCGCCGAGCACGCGATGTGCAGCGCGGACCGCCCCTGACGCACCTGACACAACAAGTTCACGACTAGATAGTTAATACAATACAAGACTCTCTATTGTACACTAAGGAAACAAAATATACAAATATTAAAGGAAAATAAAGGGCGATTTTATTGCCACATAGATAAAAGGCGGTCTTTTTTTTCATATTTTTGCATTATCATCAGAATTTTGAGCTGTATTCAAAATGATTTCTTTTATTTACGCGAACACTACACATGATTAAAACTACTTTTACGGATTTGATCGCGTTTAATTTATTTGACTTTTACTTCCAGACGTTTCGTGTGCTTTCCAGCAGCCATCACGGGGGACTGAGGTAACTGACGTCCCGATGTTAGTGTTAACCCGAATTACCTTTAGCTTTTTAATTATTATTTATTGTCCGACCTACGCAGAATGAACTTACTGTGTCTTGAATAAGGGTTGTTTTGATTTTAAATTAAAAAAGTAGCACTAAATAGTCTCGACACTAGGCAATAGTTCAGTGGCCATAAATGAAAGGTAATTAGAGACAAAAAAAGTTACTTATTTTATATAATATGTACTTAATACACACTATTGTGACTCAGATTATCTTTAAAAAAGAAAATCCATTACAAGAGCATACTGCGCATCGTTACTTGACAAACTGAAGACATAAATTGCGGATAAACAGCCACATTTGCAGAAAAAGAAAATTATTTGTCACCAAGACAAGCACCGTCTCACACCTTAGCGGTTACCACGACCAAAATCCACAAATTACGGTTACGGGTTGGTTATATTAAAATAGCAGGCTAATACCGTTGTATTTCTTATGGTGAGTGAGAACCGGAGACTCATTTTAGTGGAAGCCAGACATTCCATCTTCGTCCTCAGTGGTGGCAACGCATCTGTATTGTAATTATTAACATAGGAAGGATATTCCATTTGCCATCAGATAGACTGTGCTCATTATTCTATATAAAAAAACGTATTAACGATTTCGAAAATTTAACTCCAAACTTACCCTAATATCTAACTTAACGAGCGAGTAGACAGCCTTATGTATCTTCCTGGACACTTCATCCGTGCACTCGGGTTCCTCCAGCAGCCTGGCCATCAACGCGGCTAGATGCAGCGAGATCACTAACACCCTCTGCAACGTCGTCAGCGTCTGTTCTCTGTCTATGCTCAGTTTGGATTCTAACAGCTCCATTCCTCTGTCGATCTCCGAGAGAGCTTTACTGAATACAGGATCTATGTCTTCGAAAGTGACTGGTGGCACAATTCGACCTGAGAAAACGACATTTTCAATAATATATTTACTGTTACTGTATGTTTTATTAATGATTTAATATAACATACAATGGTGTAGTAAGAATATCTACTACCCTATATCATACCATGTATCTCGTAAAAGGCAACTAGGAAAATGAAATAAGAGATGAGCAGCCGCAGCTTCCTGATGACTAAAAACAATATAAAAAACTGAAAATAATATTTTATACGTGGCAGAGCCACGCCGCAGCTATGTTATGGTTGTAGCACGAGTGGGTCGGCTCCACCGGGGAGGGAATACGCTCTCACAGAATACCAGCGTCAAATGGCAGCTTGATCCTGCTGTTTCGTGTGGTGAGTGTAGAGAACCGGAGACCCGTTTTACTGGAGTCGAGGCATTCCATCTCAGTCAGGGGTGACAACGCATCTGCATTTTGATTCATAATAAGTTAAGTGTAGATGTCTATGGGCCACAGCATCCACTTACCATCAAGTGGACTGTGTGCTCGTTTGTCACCCTTATTCAATAAAAAAAAACATCATTCACCGCCGAAACGTCGTGTGCATTGCACCTATCGATAACCGCGTGAGCTTCTATTAACTAAATAATTTTTTCGAAACTACCTACTATGTCTACCAAGTGCGACAACTGTAATAAATCTATTACAAAAAGTTCCCCAGGAGTGGAATGCAACAAATGTGAGCGTTTAGTACATATCAGCACAAAATGCACTGGATTAACCAACAAGCAGCTCAATGCTCTTAAAGCAGCATCTCCTGGATTGGGATGGACATGTCTGGAATGTGTGCAGGAGTCATCGAAGCGTAAATCTTCAATATTTGTACCAGAGGACGAAGATGAAGAGGATGCTGAAAATCTAGCTCAACTCGACTCTGCGAAACTACTAAAGGACATCTCAATGGAAGTAAAAAAACCCATGAGAAATGAAATGAGGCAAGTAAACGACTCCCTACAGTTTCATAGTGCCAAACTTGATGAAGTAATGGCATGTATCGAAACATTCAAACAAACAATCAAAAATTTAGAAAAAAAGAACATTGAACTAAGTACCAAAAATAATAACTTGAAAACCAGGGTGGGAGTCCTAGAACAACAAATTCAAGCGCTGGAACAAGAAAAACTCTCGAAGCAGATAGAAGTTGCAAATGTACCCTGGCATAAAAATGAGAATGTGGAAAACCTAGTTGAAAATTCGGCTATGAAGTTAAACTTACCCAAAACCGGTATCAAGAAATCACTTAGGCTGCGAGGGAGAGGAGAGCAAAATGGTAGCTTACTAGTGGAACTTAAAGAGGAGAATATGCAGGAGAAGTGGCAGGCAGCAGCAAAATCAACAGCAGTGACCGTTGCAGATATCCATCCACAAGAACAAAACAATAATGCCATCGTGTATATCAGGGAAGCTATGACTCGACTAAATAAACAAATACTATGGCTAGCGAAACAGGAATTAAAAACGAAGCTTAACTACAAGTACGTCTGGTTTAAAAAAGGGTCCGCAAAAGCACGTAAGGATGATATATTTAAAATACACTATCTAAGAACTCTAAACGATGTGCACATATTTGCCAAACAGAATTACTAGTTTTATAATAAGGTATATATTATTTTTATTATTGATTTTAGAAGTACTTTTATATATTTTTTTTTTATTGAATGGAAATACTAAGTGATGAAATATTTGAATGTTTAGATTGTACAAATATCAACAATTTTATTTATTTATGCTTTATTTGCACACCGAGTACAAAAAGGCGGACTTAATGCAACAAGGCATTCTCTGCCAGTCTACCTCCAGGCTAAGCAGAAAAGATATTGTGGGTGCAAAGTGCTACTGAGTTAAAACATTTAAGTAGACATACACATTAAATATTGCATTACATGTTATTAACATACGTATTATTACAATATATATATATATATATATATATATATATATATATATATATATATATATATATATATATATACACACATACATACACATACACACACATATACATACACATACATATATATACACACATATACATATACATACATATATAAGTACATACATAATTAAATATAGCTGTTTCTGATTCAAACACCTATGAAATATTTGAAATATAAACAGGATAAGGGAACAGTTAGAATTTAAGAATATAAAAAAAAATGTTAATCGACAAACTACTCCTGCAACGCCAGAAAATGATTCCATAGCAAGCGTTTGAACGATGCTTTGCTCGTGGCTGCACGTACACTGCTCGGTAGCTCGTTCCACAATCTTACCGCGTGAGACGTAAAAGATTTATACAAGAAGCTAGTGTGACAGAGGGGGACATGGAGATTAGACTTTTCCGTAGAACAGAGACAACGATTATGAGAATCACCCTGATACTGAAATTTACATTTCAGATATTCAGGGCCAAACGGATCGTGTAAAACTGAAAATAATGTGCACAGTATTCTGAAATATCTGCGATGGCGGAGGGGTAGCCATTTAAGCTGAGAACGATAAGAGGAGATGTGGTCGTATTTACGTAAACCGAAAATGAAGCGTATACAATTATTAAGAAGTCGATCCAGTTTGTTTAGAAGTTCTTGAGAGGCATCAGCATAGCAAACATCTGCATAATCTAAAATAGGAAACACTAGAGTCTGTATTAGCATCGCCTTAGTCCCTATCGGTAAAAAATTCTTAAATTTCTGCCCAAAAATCATGGTATTACCTTGTTATATGCATAACAACGGTCTATGATAAAAAACTTTGCCTGTTTAGAGCAAACTATTATAACTTCCAACCAGTATACAGATGTCATTGTGGTAACTGAGGCTAGTATTACGGAGTCTATTCGTTGTCTTTTTCAAATTACAGGATACCAAATGTTAACTGGTCTGCGAAAAGCCCGAAGGGGTGGTGGTATTGTAATTTATGTAAATAATAAACATAATTTTAACACTAAAAACACCAAAACAGAACAGTTTGAGAGTATTATATGCACTATCATTTCCGACACGGGCTATTCTGCGGACCTATGTTCCGTGTACCGTCCTCCTAAAAACAGTAAACACTTATTTCTTATTGAGCTTGAAAACACTTTACAAAAATACTGTTGTAATAAAGAGTTGTATGTAATAGGCGACATAAATATTGACCTGAATTCCGATAGTCCTGTAAAACATAAATATATTAACTTAATGTACTAGTCCTTGGGTCTTGTACGTGGGATTACCGCTAACACACGAATAGAAATATCGGGTGGTAAGTTAAGTAAATCTTGTATAGATCATATTAACGCGAGATCCCATACACAAGACCTTTTCACAGCTGCTATCGGTACGACACTGGCGGAGCACCGCGCGATAGTGTTTGCCTGTGTTGGGTCGCGTATACAGGCCGTTTCTAAAATCAAGACTTGTATTAATAACAATGCCTTAATAAAATCATTAAGTGAAGTCGAATGGCAAAAAACGAATACCATGACCTGTTCGATACAAATTTAGAATTTTATAAATGACAACTTTAAACAATGTTTTACAAAACCAGCGAATATAAATCAAAAATTAAAATAAAAGCTAAGCGAATTGGTTGCGCGGAAAACCATTCGTATTTATTTATTTTGACGGTAGGCTGCCAAATCGCTTATCCCTTTCCAAAACGATATCATTCCTACCCTCCTATCGACACATCGGGGTGGTGGGGTGGGAGGGGAAAGAAGATGATTCTAGAATATCACGTAATCATCGCAACCGAAGGTATAAAAGGCACGCGCGACCGACGCGCACCCTCTTCCCGCCGCACTCGTCGTTGGAACCACACCGCTAGTAGAACCGCTTTAGCCTGGAAGCAGTCGAGCTCCAGGAAACCCGCCTCACCTCGTGTGAGAAATAGTCGCGCACCGCCTCTCCCATCCCAAGAAAGGCAGAGTGTCTGTCCAGAAGAAGTTCCAGAAGTCGCAGCTATAGTGCCCAACAGCATAGAAGAGACACCCCGGTGAGTGAATATTCCTAATAATATTGCCTGCTTGATATAATTGTGTTTTAACCCGCTCCAATTTTGTTTTCTCCTAATCAAGCAGGATTCCTTTCATCGATTTGGCAAATAATAGTTCGTTTTAGGGAAGAGCGAGTGCATTGTACCGCGCGCTATAGTCGTCGCGTCGTTATATAAGCGTAGAAGCATTTCGAAGATACAGTCCACTTTGATTAATATCTCGCGTAATAAGTTTAAGGTTCGACCGGGGAATTAGACTTCGGCAACCTTAGGCTCGATGCTCCACCACGAATAAATAATGAATGGTTGAATAAAAAAACTTTAAAAGCATGTGAGTACAGAGATAAATTATTTAATAAATGGACTAAGGACAGCCAAAATAAGATTTTAAAACAAACCTACAACAAAGCAAGAAACTATGCAAACTCATTAATTCAAAAAAGCAAAAATTTATGGCTAAAATTAGAAATAAATAATAATAAAATAATCCACGATATCTCTGGCAAATATTAAATAGATTGACCGGCAGAATAAAACAGTCGATTGATAATTTATTACTGAAAGCCTTCAGCAATGGCAGGAATACAGCTAAAAACATCGCATGCACATTTGCTATGACTTTTGATAAAAATTTGCAACAAATCATACCAAAATGTTTAACACCTCTACTGGATAAGTCAATCTATCGTGAAAACGCCAATGTATCTATGAGGTATATACCTGCAGACACGACTGCAGTGGAAAATATCATTAAGTCTCTAAACCATAATAAAGCTCCTGGTATTGATGGTATACGAGCCATAGATATTAAAAAAATATGCTCAGTGGTCAAAGTAGCTATTACAAATCTTATAAACGCAAGTATTAGGAACGGCAAGTATCCCCAAGTACTAAAAACGGGTATTGTTAGACCTATACATAAAAAGGGTAATAAGTCTGACTACAATAACTATAGGCCGATCACTATATTACCTACCATTAACAAAATAGCTGAGAAATATGTTAGTAGACAGATTTATAACTTCTATGATAAAAATAATATACTGACTAATAAACAGTTTGGCTTTAAACCTCATAAAAATACCACTCAGCTTTTAACGGCGTTCACAAACAGCATATACAAGCATCTAGATGAGAAAAAACATATATTGGTAGTGTTTATAGACTACAGTAAGGCTTTCGACACACTTCGTCATGAGCAACTATTAGATAGTCTGAACGATAATGGTATCAGAGGACCACTGCTGTCGTGATGTAAAGATTACCTCACCGATAGAAAACATGTGGTTAAGTGGGTGATTCAATGAGCAACATAGTAAATGTATCTGTAGGCACTGCACAAGGCTCCGTAATGGGACCTTTACACTACATTACCTATGTAAATAGTCTGGCAAATATTATCAAGCGATGTGAAATTTACCAGTATGCTGATGATACTTGCTTGGTTGTGGCTGGGAGCAATATAAACGACACTCACAACCTCCTACAAGACGATTTTAATATACTTATGAAGTGGTCACATGATAAAGGATTAGTCTTAAATGCTGCGAAGACTAAGTTAATGTACATTAGCTCTAGTCAAAATAGGAGTAAGGTTATACCTAGGCTCATTGCGCATGACCACCAATGCCTTCACAGACGACAGGTCCAAACGAAATGTAAGTGCGAATCCATAGACCTGGTAGAGTCACAGACCTACTTAGGACTCGTGATAGATAGTCGCCTTAATTGGAAAGAGCATATTGAGCATGTATGTGATAAACTTCGTCTTATGCTTGCAAAATTCCGTATAAAATACTTATACAGCTATATAAATCACTGGTAGAGTCAAAAGTAGCATATGGTTTGTCTAGCTATGGTAGAACGTACAGATCACATTTAGAACGTATTTATCTACTACAATTACGTATTTTAAAAACTATAGTCCCGGATAGTATTAAAAACCAGTATAAAGAATCAGATTACCACAACCTTTTTAGTCATTGCAAAATTATACCTATACACGAAAAGGTAAAGTTTACCCTTCTTATAGAAGAATTTTTCCATGAACAGTTAAAAATTGCACATACATGTGAATACTCTAAAACTCGCAACTCAGGAAAACCTAAACTAGCCTTACCTAAATACAACAATTTATATGGTAAACGTATCTTAGAATATATGATTCCTAACCTAATTAACCAGCTACCAATATCAGTAAAAACAGAACTAAATCAAAAAAATATTAAATTAAAATTAAAAAATTACTTTACGGAATGCATTACTAATAATTTAAATTATACATAATATGTTTTAATAATAAATACTACGATAACGCCCTAAAACAAGCGCCCTGTATAAAATATAGGATCCATGCGCGGTGCATTGTGCAATAGAAGGTTACGCAATTAACTAATAAATACTAAGTGTATTTCTTTTTTCTTACTACACCATCATATTGTTATTGTCGGTGATACCGGTACACGGTAAAGTTTCTATAAACTTATGATTGTACCGTCACGTAATGTGTAATTAATGAATGTAATAATATATTAAATAAAAAAAAAACATCTGTGGTCACAGCCCGCCCGCCAAGCGTGACAACACTAATCTAGTCCAACATGAGGCAATCTATGGGGGACACCTATGTTCAACAATGAATTACACTGGTGATAATGTTTTTCTATCTGAGTTTCATCATCATTCATTTTATCAAGAAACACGCAGAAGTTATAAAAATAATCATCACCTCTTGGCAACGGGCGTTTGTGTGGTGTGTACGTAGGGGCCGAGTTCGAAGCGTGTGACACACGAGCAATGCGTTCACCCCGAATTAGAGGACATAGGCATAGTGAGCAAGAACAGAGCCCGTGTAGTGTGTCACACGGGCGGCTCGCTCACCTAGCGGCGGCGGGCGTGTGCGTGGTGAAAGTGCTGCAGCGCAGTGCGTGTAGAGTCTAGTGTGTCACACGGGCGGCGCGTTCACCTGGCAGCGACGGGCTTGTGCGTGCTGAGCGTGCACCAGCACAGTGCATGTGCGTGGTGAGCGCGCAGCACCACAGTGCATGTAGAGTGCGAGTGAGCGTGCAGCAGCACAGTGCATGTAGAGTGCAGTGTGCGGCGGCGCGTACCCCGCAGCTGTGCGTGGTGAGCGTGCAGCACCACAGTGCATGTAGAGTGCAGTGCGACGTGTGCAGTGTACGTAGTAAGCGTGCAGCAGCACAGTGCGTGTAGTGTGCAGTGTGACGTGTGCAGTGTGCGTGATAAGCGTGCAGCAGTACAGTGCGTGTAGAGTGCAGTGCGACGTGTGCAGTGTGCGGCGGCGCGTACCCCGCAGCTGTGCGTGGTGAGCGTGCAGCACCACAGTGCATGTAGAGTGCAGTGCGACGTGTGCAGTGTGCGGCGACGCGTACCCCGCAGCTGTGCGTGGTGAGCGTGCAGCACCACAGTGCATGTAGAGTGCAGTGCGACGTGTGCAGTGTGCGTAGTGAGCGTGCAGCAGCACAGTGCGTGTAGTGTGCAGTGCGACGTGTGCAGTGTGCGGCGGCGCGTACCCCGCAGCTGTGCGTGGTGGGAGCGTGCAGCACCACAGTGCATGTAGAGTGCAGTGCGACGTGTGCAGTGTGCGTAGTGAGCGTGCAGCAGCACAGTGCGTGTAGTGTGCAGTGTGACGTGTGCAGTGTGCGTGGTGAGCGTGCAGCAGCACAGTGCGTGTAGAGTGCAGTGTGACGTGTGCAGTGTGCGTAGTGAGCGTGCAGCAGCAGTGCGTGTAGTGTGCAGTGTGACGTGTGCAGTGTGCGTGGTGAGCGCGCAGCAGCACAGTGCGTGTAGAGTGCAGTGCGACGTGTGCAGTGTGCGTGCAGCGCACCTGCGGCCGCGTACCTCGCAGCTGTGCGTGGTGAGCGTGCAGCAGCACAGTGCGTGTAGAGTGCAACGTGTGCAGTGTGCGTAGTGAGCGTGCAGCAGCACAGTGCGTGTAGTGTGCATGTACGTGTGCAGTGTGCGTGGTGAGCGTGCAGCAGCACAGTGCGTGTAGAGTGCAGTGTGACGTGTGCAGTGTGCGGCGGCGCGTCTGTGCGTGGTGAGCGTACAGCAGCGCAGTGCGTGTAGAGGGCAGTGTGACGTGTGCAGTGCGGCGGCGCGTACCTCGCAGCAGAGGGCGCGCGCGTGGTGAGCGTGCAGCAGCACAGTGCGTGTGGAATGCAGTGCGACGTGTGCAGTGTGCGGCAGCGCGTACCTCGCAGCGGCGGGCGCGCGCGCTCGGCCAGCATGTAGGAGAAGAGCTCGGCGAAGCTGTAGAGGCTGGACTGTGTGAGCGGCGAGAGCGGCGGCAGCACGGCGCGCTGCATGTCGAGCGCGTGGTGCCACAACTGGCGGCAGCGCTGGAAGCGGCCCGCGTCCGCGTACACCGCGCCGCGGTACCGCACGTAGTACGACGTGTCCGGGTGCGCCGGCCCTAACCATAACCACGCACGCTCACGTTATTTTTAAGGTCAATCATACGATAATCCGTGGTAGCTCAGATGGTTAACGCTCGCTGTAAATATAACAGAATGCGAGTAACCCGGGTTCGATCCCCGCCGGCACCAATGAAATTGTTAATTGCAATTTTAAGTGCTGATATACCACGTGCTCGGCGGTGAAAGAAAACATAGTGAGGAAATCTGCATGTCTGAGGAATAAGGAAAAAAATATTTCTCAGACATGTGATGTTCGCCAACAAGCATTGGGGCAGCGCGGCGGACATTTCCTTGCCCTAGGCTGTAACTTTACTTTTATACGATAATCATATAATTAATAATAATTATTCATACGATTATCGTATGAACAAAAATATTCATGCGTCCAATATCCTTTTAGAAAGAATTTAAGTTAAATTCTTTCTAAAAAGTTATAATCTATACATATATATATATATATATATATATATATATATATATATATATATATATATATATATATATATAATAAAAAAATATGTATAGAACTATACTAACTACTACTAAATGGATGTAGCTGATGTTGGTTATTCTACTGATGTTATTGTATCTAATTACATATTTTTAATTCCTTCATATTAGTTTTATTTCATTTGCAGTATTCGCGTTATTTTTTATTATATGATTTCAAAAAAATCGTTTTAATTTACTACGCCTCACCTACCTAGAATTCTCTCTCTTATAACCAGCGCCTGCATCCTCATGGCGTCCGGGTCGGCGAGTATTTCCTCCAGCTGCTGCGCGTTACCGGGCTCCACGGCGTAGTCGTAGGCTTCTATGCGAGGTATGTCCTTGGGCTTTGGAATAGGTTCGGTGCCATCGGCTGGGAATCTAAAATGTATTACATTTTTATATTAATTCTTGACTTTCTTTGATTTACGGATCGTTCATTGATTACATCCTATGAGTCTACTTGTGAACATAGGTGGGGAGGCCACGGAATGTCTAATATGGACATTTGCCACATTTGCACACCCGGCTGGCGGGTTGGAGTCGCAATATTTTATTTTCTATTTGTTATTAGGAAGACGCTGCCTACCCATCTCCGCATTTGTTGTGTGACTCGTAGAATATATCCACTACTACAGTGGATATTCTTACTCCGCTCCTATACGAATCAGATTACGACGGTCAGATGTAGGATTTACGGATATTTAAACATATTCTAATTTCTCATGAAATATTCGAGTAGGTAAACTTTCGTGAAAAACGAGCACACAGTCCATCTGATGGTAAGTGGATCCTGCGGCCCATAGACATCTACATTTAATCTCGATTAAAAGTCAAAATACGGATGCGTTGTCACCCCTGAGGACTAGGATGAAATGTTTTAATTCCAGTAAAACGGGTCTCCGGTTCCCTACACTCACCTTACGAAACATAACAGCATCAATAAGTACAAAATGAAGAAAGACGTTGTATTAAGAGGACATATGTCTGCAAGAAATTTGGAGGATATGTTTTAATCGATTTATTGCAGTCGCGCTGTACTCGTACATACGTCCGAGCAAAGCAACAGCGAACTGCCGCTCTGACTAGTATACACTGATAGGCATAATATGAAAAAATTACGAAATTATCAGTCCGTACACTCGTTGCCTCCTCTAAAACTAGATCGATTTTATTTTTAAGAACAATTTAAGAAGGATTGTGGCTATGCTTTTATATCTTTTGTTTGGTATGTTCGTTACATTTCTTTGTTGATTTTCGGTTTAATTAAGTTGATTCAGCGGTAAAACAGGTCAGTTTTAACAATTTTAGAAGGTTTAATTTCGAAATAAGCAATCTATGAAAAAAACTAGATTGAATCGAGCAGAACATTTTCTGTAGTGTCATTACTCAGGAAGAAAACAGAGTAATATGTTCGTATAGACCAAACCTTGTCCAGATATCCTCGTATAGGTTTCCCGTTCTACATAGTATTGTCATTTGTATAAAATAAAATAATACCATTTTGTTCATAAATCGACCTTTTTGCATTGCATAAATTTGACATAAAACCAAATTAACTATTTTGAATTACTTTGTTGATCTTAATAATTGTATTGTACACTAAAGCTGTCAAATCTTGTCATCGAACTCTTAAACAGACCGGAAGCAGACACCATTGCTATTCGGCTCATATCCGGAAGATTTTCCGGCAATGTCCTTCTTCTTCATCAAAGAAGACTCTTCTTATGATGAAGAAGAAGGGGGAAGAAAAAGGTGGTTGAATATGGTGGTTGAATACGAGCGTGAAATAGTAGCCTAACGCTGCTGTGTTTCGTATGGTGAGTGTAGATACCGGAGACCCTTTTTACTGGAAACGAGGCATTCCATCTTAGTCCTCACGGATGACAACGCATCTGCATTTTGATTCATAATCGAGGATAGATGTAGATGTCTATGGGCCACAGCAACCACTTACCATCAGGTGGACTGTGTGCTCGTTTGTCACCCCATCCTATATAAAAAAAAGGTGGAAGAAGCAAGCTTGTATGTGCAGGGTGTGTTACCTGTCGTCCATGGCGCGCTTCCAGAGCGCGAGCGCGCCGACCATGTCACGGCGCTTGTCGACGTACGTGGCGCCGAGCAGCTCGAGCGCGTCGATGCGCTGCTGCCGGCTCACCAGCCCGTGCTCCGCCGTGATCAGGTGCTCCACGATGTGCGTGTGCCCCGTCACCGAGGCGGCCAGCAGTGGCGTCATGCCTGCACCGGACAACCACACTCATGTAGGGTTATATTTCATTTGAGCTAAAAATCAAAAGTCCGGGTGAATTTCAATGCGTGACATTTTGTCAACCAAAAAGCCTAACTGTGTCCGGCTTTATCCAGAGTCCGGACGCCTGGCAACGCTGAGTACAAGTAACGCTAGCAACGCTTCCGAGTACGCATGACGTCATGACACTATCGCCAAACCTTCTACTCGCGGATGTAAGTATAATACATAAAGTTGCACAATTAGAGGTTGAAATCACAATTAAGCATTCGGCTGCGACGCTACAGGGTTGTGGGTTCAAATCCCAAACGAACAACGTGTTTATATGGCCTACAAATAATTCTTTCGGATATGGATGTTTGTCTGTGGGCAACTTGTGCATAAAACAGCTTTATGATATAGGAGAAAATCCGATATCCTATCACATTACCACTCAATTACAAAGATATAACAGAAATTTATATGGTCAGTAATTTATGTTCACATATTTTTATAGATATTAAACCTATCACAAAAATATATATATATATATATATATATATATATATATATATATATATATATATATAACATGTAACATAATTAACGCACTTTGAGAAAGTAGTTTGTTTAGAATCGTTTACTGAATCGATTCTTATCATTTTTAATATAGGTAATTTTTTATCCCAAAAATAATTAAAACTACGTAAATTACAGTCACACTAAATCTGTACAGTCAAAACAAACCGAAATGGACCGTAACTTAAGGCAATAAGACTTTTAAGAGTGCAGTTTTATTTGTATTATTACTAATTCTGTCATTCAATAAAAATAAAGAAAAACCGGCCAAGAGCGTGTTGGGCCACGCTCAGTGTAGGGTTCCGTAGTTTCCCGTCCTTAACAATAAGTGTTCCCACTTATGAGTTTAAAGGTGGGTATCCATTATGTTCGCGCTCCAGCAGCGCTCCGCGCTCCTGCAACTGCTCCCGGTAGTGGGTACGTGCGCGAACATGGAGCGTGCAACATTGCACGCTCCGCGACAGGCGATGCCAAGGAGAGACCAACCGAACAATTCGATAATACCCGACCCAATGTAATAAGTACCTACAGCGCCATCTCTCGGGGAATTGGGTTACTAATTAATACATAGACGTGCCAGAAGTTTTCGGTGGTAATTTTGGATAATTTTTTAATAATTCTTTTTTTGTTTGAAAAAAGATACGTTCAGGATAATAAAATATGTAAACGAAGTTAAAAAAAATGCCTGCTTAAACGATTATACTACAAACTTAGTCCAGAAATTATTTTGTACAACTTTTTGTCTTTTTTGTACAAAAACTGTTTCCATCCAGGTTCAAAATAATTTTCCTAGAAAGTCCTTATAAAGTTCTACCTTTCAGATTTTTTTCATATTTTCTAAACCTATGGTTCAAAAGTTAGAGGGGGGGGACACATTGTTTTTTACTTTTGGAGCGATTATTTCTGAAATTATTGACATTATCAAAAAATGATTGTAGTAAACCCCTATTCATTTTTAAATACCTTTCCAACAATATATCACACGTAAGGGTTGAAATTAAAAAAAAAAATCACTTCCCACTTTACATATAGGGGGACTACCCTAATAAAACATTTTTTTCCAATTTTTATTTTACCACTTTGTCGGCGTGATTGATACACATATTGGTACCAAATTTCAGCTTTCTAGTGCTAACGGTCACAGAGATTAAGCGAGGACGGACAGACGGACAGACAGACATGGCGAAACTATAAGGGTTCCTAGTTGACTACGGAACCCTAAAAATGAACTTTATTTCAAGCACGTTAAAGTCTTTGCATTCGTGGATTTGTAGTGTGACCACAACATTCTTCCGGAATTAGTATAACTAATTTTATAAATAATCAGTGCATAAAAATGTTTAACTAAAATCAGTGTATGTATTATGATTATAACATAATATACTAATTGGGATGTCTGAGGGTGTGCACTAATTACGTTACATATTATATATATATATATATATATATATATAAACTCACGCCTGTCACCCAGAGGGGTAGGCAGAGACTACAGACTTCCATTTAACATGATCCTGACACACCTCTCTCGCCTCCTTTACATCCATATATCTACGCATACATGCTCGTCGGTTAAGGGTACTTCTAACGTGGCCCATTTTCAAAATATCGCCAATTTGGTCGATAAACTTTTTCCTAGGGCGTCCCTTCCCGACTCGGCCGTTCACATCTGCCATATAAATTTGCTTTGTCACTCTTTCCTCATTCATTCTTTCTACGTGACCAAACCACCGAAGCATTCCTTTCTTAATCCTGGTCACAACATCATCTTGCATACCACATTTATCTCTTATCACGCAATTTCTCACCCTGTCATTCAGATTACACCCTAGCATATTCCTTAAAGACCGCATTTCTACAGCATTTATTCTACTTTCGTGCTTCTTCTGCCACACCCAGCTTTCACTACCATACATTAAAGTAGGGACTAACACAGCATTATGAATTACCATACGTGCCTGTTTTGACAAATTTTGGTTCTTCATAATAGAGTGTAGTGCCCCATTCACTATATTCCCTGCATTTACTCGTCGTTCTATATCCCTATCATATCTACCATCCCTGCTAAATACACATCCCAAATACACAAACTCATCCACTTGCTCAATCAACTCTCCTTCTATTCTTATTTCACATACCGTTTTGCTTTCTTCTCTTTCAAAAACCATCACTTTCGTCTTACTTGCGTTCACTTTCATTCCCCTTTCTTTTAATTCCCAGTTCATTAATGTAACCATCATTTGCAACTCTGCCGCCGATGACGCAAGTATGACTTGATCATCGGCATACAAAAGGCATTTGACGGTTAACTCGCCCATTCTTAACCCACATTCTTCATCTTTCAAAGTTTGCAAACACCGGTCCATAAATAGGTTGAACAGCCAAGGGGAAGCCACACAGCCCTGTCTGACACCTTTTTGGATGCCAAACCAGTCCGAGTAGACCCCATTGATCCTGACACAAGCACTAGAGTCCCTATAAAGAGACCTTAATGCCTGTATCAAACCAGCGCTCAACCCATATGAGTTCAGTGTTTGCCATAACACATTCCTGTCCACTCTGTCATAAGCCTTTTCCAAGTCCATGAACGCACAAAAAACTTTCTGGTTTTTGGCCAAAAACTTCTCCGCAATCATGCGCATGGAAAAGACTTGATCTGTACACCCCATTCCCTTTCTAAAACCCGCTTGCACATCCCAAATTTTTCCATCAGTTTCTTTCATAACTCTTTCAATTAACACCTTAGCATACAGTTTACCCACAATACTAAGCAAGCTGATACCGCGGTAGTTTTTGCAGTCCTGCTGTGACCCTTTTCCTTTATATATTGGTACTATAACTGCTTTACACCAGTCATCCGGTACCCGTTTTAATTCCCAACATAAATTAAACAAGGTGTACAGCAGGCCTGCCACCACTCCCTCTCCAGCCCTTAGCATCTCGAGTGATACTCTATCATATCCAGCTGCCTTACCTGCTTTCATGCTTTACATTGCTTTCATTATTTCATCTACACTTATCTCCATACCCCTTTCCACTTCTTTCGGAACTTATAGTTCATTTAATTCATACGACTCTTCACTCATAAACACGCTTTCAAAGTATTCCTTCCATCTGTTTAAATTAGCAACTTCATCATTCAGAATACATCCATTCTCGTCTCTTATAGCATTTATTATCGGCTGTTTTGTATTTCCCCTGGCAGTTCTTACGAGTTTCCAGAACATTTTTATGTTAGCCTGGAAATTATCAGATATCCTTCTATCATTCTTATTCGTTCTTTCTTTCTTTTTCCTTTCAACAACTTCTTTCACTCTCTTATTTAGACGTCTAAATTCTGCCTTTTTTCTTTCAATCTCATCATTCATACCAGAAGAATTATCAGCTTTGGTTGCTAGTAAATCTAACCATGCTTTCTTCTTTGATTCAACTTCCACCCGTACCTCATCATCCCACCATAACGTATTACTTTTCCTTTCATTTGTTCTCTTACTTACACCGCATACTTCGGTGGCGGTATCCACCAAACCTTTCTTAATATTATCCCACACAGTATTCAAGTCTAAATCATTCATACACAACTCATTCAAACATCTAATATTTTCTCTCAGTCTACATTTATACTTCTCTATCACATCTTCATCTTGTAACTTCTCTATTCTTATACGCTGTAACGCAGTGGTAGATACAGATGTCCGATGCCGCCAACGCTTGAAAAGACCATTAATTCGACATAAGACCAAGTAATGATCCGTCCCTACGTTGGACCCCCGGTAAACCCTTGTATCTACGACTGCGCTCCTCATTCTTTCATCCACAATTACGAAATCTATCATGCTTCTATCATCACCTCTTTCCCATGTATATATGAATCTTCTTATGACGAAAAAAAGTATTCGTCACAAAAAGATTCTTTTCCGCACATACGGTGAGGAGGTCTTCACCATTCTCATTTATACTTTCATCACCAAACGTTCCCAATATCCTTTCATAACCAGACCTCTTCACCCCAACCCTTCCATTAAAGTCTCCTAACATAATAATATTTTCATTTTCCTTACATTTTGTCAACACCATCCTATATATATATATATATGAAAAATAATTAAACAGGTAAAATCTTATACATTCTTTGTTTAGAACTTTTTAACACTTAGTAAGGCAGTGAACTGTTACGAATTGAAAATTACTGGATTAAATCTTACTGGATATCTATTGGCAGTTGTTTACGAAGAACACTAAAAGCAACCATATCACACTCACCATAAGAATCAACGTCCATTGTAGCGCCGTGACCCAACAACATCTTCAATATATGTAGGGAACCGCTCTCTGCGCAATCGTGTAGAGCTGTATTGCCTTTTACGCTCTTCCTGTTCACGTCCGCGTTGAGTGATAGGAGGTACTTGGCGATTCTGATGTGACCCTTGTAGCAGGCGATCATAAGGCATGTGTGGCCGTGACGATTCGCTATCTCTATGTCTGGAATACATTCACACACACACACACATTATTAACAATAAGTAAACCTCGAAAGCCCAACTCTATGTAATAATTAATTTTTTCATCATCATTACAGCCCTTCACAAATCCACTGCTGAACATAAGCCTCCCCCAATAAATGCCACAAAGCACGGTCCTGAGCCACCTGCATCCATCGACTTCCTGCATGTCTTACCGCTACGTGGTACTTCGCCTACCGGTACGTGGCTGCCACTCGAGGATCTTTTTTCCCCATCGGTTGTTTGTTCTTCGAGCTATATTGCCCGCCCATTGCCACTTCAGCTTGCTAATCCGTTGGGCTGTGTCGGTCACTCCGGTTCAACTGCGGTTATCCCTATTACTAAGTTTATTAAGCAGAGAAATCCTGAGCAAAGCCCTCTCCATAGCTCGCTGAGCGACCATGAACGTCCTCATACGGCCAACAGTGAAGGACCACGTCTCAGATCCATAAGTCATCACTGGCAACACGCACTGGTTGTACAATCTCGTTTTGAGGTATACCTGACGAGAAGATGTGTCGTAATATTCCGAACGCTGCCCAGCCGAGTTGAATCCGTCGATTGACCTCGGTCGAAAATGGACTTACCTAGTCTATTTGTCCCAGGTAAACTGATGAACTGAACACTAAAGTGCTCTCAATAACTATCGGCATAGGTGTGACATGGACATTACACATGACCTGTGTTTTGTTCATGTTCATTTTAAGACCGTTGGGGACACTATTTGATTACACTTCTCTGCAGTTGGATAGGTCTCGTACTCTGGTCCTGTACTCGGATAGCCATTGTAGCCCTACTGTACCACCAGTATAAGAATATTTTTCCCCATCAATTATCGGTTTTTCAAGCTTACAGTCTATCCATGCAGCGAAAAACGCCCTATCCATAGCTCTTTGAGCGACCTTGAGTTTCCTTATCCGGTATAAACTAAAACACCTACAACCTTGCGAATTACTTTTGTTTTCTTTTTTTGAGCTTTAGTTGATTTTTTTTTTTGTGCAAATATAGCTCTTGCACTCGACCGATTTTTTTTAAGGCATGTAACACATGATTTCGTCAAGGTTAGTAAACCAATTTTATCTATTGTTTTTTATCGACAGAACATTACTTATAAAATGATTTCATGCATAAATATTAATCAGATACAATGAAGTGAAGTCGAAGATTTTATATATAATCCAATTATATAAATTATTATTTTTATGTGCATTAATAATAAAGTCTTTCAAACCGAATATCCAGTCACAATGAAGACTAACCAAGTGCACGTGTGTGTGTAAACAAAGGTGCACTCTCTATTCCCTTACTCTCATAGTCCGATAGTACGGCTGTCCGACACAACCGGTGTGGGATCAAACACTGGACCAACGGCTTTACGCGCTTTCCGAGACACGAGGGTGAAACACCACCAACTTTCTGACCCCCGGCTGCTAAAGCTTCTGTTAATTGTTAAAGTTACTCACATAACAAAGAAATAAAAGAGTAAAGTTGCAGCCTTTATATGTCCAACTGCTACTTACAGCCGCCTCTCCTCATTTTTGAGAGGGTAATGGAGTAGTACCTAGTTAGTTAGCCGCGGTACTACGTGTACGTGTCCAAATCTAATATTTCTTGACTTTACGTGTTTCTTTACGTTGTAGAGCCACGCTGTAGCTATATACTATGTATGTAGCTCGATAAGGTTGACTCGACCGGTGTTGGACCACGCTCTTACAGAAAAGAGCATAAAAAACACAAAAAAATGGCTGTTTCGTATGATGAGTACAAAGCCCCGGAGACCCTGTCTGCAGATGATTTGTTCATTCCATCTTAGTCCTCAGGGACGACAACGCATTTGCATTTTAATTCTTAATCCAAGATATATGTAATTCTTTATGAGCCGCAGCATCAAATTACCATTAAGTAGACTGTATGCTCGCTTGTCACCTTATTCCATAAAAAATACAGATTTCCTCACGACGTTCACCTATACCTTCACGTGTTAAATCAACAATTATAATTTGCAAATAACAATTTCTTCAATGGTACCGTCGGAGACGACACTCTACTTGCTCACGTAGGTACAAATGAGAGCAAGCGTTTAGCCCCTGAGCTACCAAGGCTCACAGACATAAGCGTAAGTAAAAAGTGTTTTCAACTCACCGGCACCGTTCTCCACTAGGAACTTGACTATATCATAATGGCCATCGAAGCAGGCGGCTCGCAGTGGCGTGCTGTGCGTACGCGTGGTGGAGTTCACGTTGGCGCCGGCGCGTACCAGCAGCCGCACCAGGGGCATGTGGCCCGCCGCCGCTGCGCACCACAGCGGAGGCGCGCCCTCTATCGTCTCGCCGTCGAATGTCACTGTAACGAATTTGAATATATTTGGTGAAAGAGAATTAAACGTATCAAGTGGAGGCGTAAGAATATCCACTACATCATATCCCATGGATGTCGTAAAAGGCGACAAGTGATAGTCAACCTGGAGATGGGCAGCAGCATTTTTCTGACAGCAGCTGAGTATAATTAAGAGGATGCGATTGCCCACCCGCTTGCCAAGTGAGACAACTAAGGCAAATATCCTCCCTATGGGGTAATCTAAAGTGAAGGCCTGCCTCTAAAGGGGAGGAGTTCAACAATTGAATTTTGTTAAGCTATATTGAATGAATGAATGTATGTTTTACCGTTAGAATGCGGAATGCGTTAGTGTGCATTAGCTAGATAATAGTAACAAACCTATAGTCATCCAAATCTAAGAAATACATTTTGACGTTTCACATTAATCATGCCGCAATAACTTTGCACAAGCGTACCTACTTACACGATTTAAAATAACCTTTTACGTAAATCCGAAGAATTATGATGTTATCTATATTTTATTACAACGTGTATGGTTTTTTTTATCACTAATTTAAATTTGAATTTTTCAACCAAAGCAAAATATTAAAAAATAACCAGTATTAACTTTTTTTACTCGTCGTCGTTTCAATGATACATCGCTATCGTAGTGTTTGGATGATTAAAATTCATTGTTATGCGAATAATCGGCAAAATATTCAAATAATCGGTAAAAATATTCTGATAATCGAATCATTGATGTCTTTAATGTATTATTTGTTTAATTTAATTTTTATTTTCAAAATTCCTTAAATTACATGAATCATGAATAAAACAGGAAAATTTTTTCACTTTGTCAAATTAAATTTGTGTAGGCAAAAAACTCATATACAAGGCCGTGCTAAAATAACCACTACATAATTTCAATATCCCGCCATTTCGGTACCAGTTACTCGACTCTACAGAATCAGTAATTCATTCTAGAGGGCATGTATACGCTTTTATAACAAAATACCAAAAAATATACAAAATTTGAGGTAAGTACACAAATTTCAAAAACTTTATTAAACTAAGTTTTGATAAAAATGGTTATTTTAGTATTAAGGAATTTATGGATGATAATAACCCCTGGGAAGGGTGATCGCTACCAAGCTATTTCTATTTTGTTTTGTGTTGTTAATTGTAACACGCATTATTGTAAGCTTTTATTCTAAAAACAAGCTTGCTGGTTCTTCCCAGGACAGAGGTTTTTTTTTGCGAACCAGTGGTAAATGAAAAAAGTGACTTTCAATAAGTATTATTCACAATCTATATTGAATAAAAAAGTTTCCGTTTCTGTTTCGAGAGCTTACTGTGCGTAATATTGTGATTTTGTGTTTGTCTTCTTATTTTGTGACTCGGCTTTAACTTTTTGGACTGTTTCTTCTATAACTTTTTGTACGTGGTAGAGCTACGCTACATCTATATTATAGTTGTAGCATGAATGGGTCGGCTCAACCAGGGGACCAACAGAATACCAGCGTAAAATAGCAGCGTAATGCTGATGTGTTTCATATGTTGAGTGTAGAGAACGGGAGACCCTTTTTACAGTAATCGAGGCATTCCATCTTAGTACTCAGGCGTGACAACGCATTTGCATTTTGATTCTTAATTGAGGATAAATGTGTATGTCTATGGGCCATAGCATCCACTTACCATCAGGTGGACTGTGTGTTATAAAAAAAATCGTTGAAGCATGTGCCCATGTCACAAAGGATGATTGGGCAAAAGTGGTAGAAAACCAAAAAATTGATTATGCATGACTTTGAAAGAGACATTAATTTTGACTGCATTATTGAAAATCAAATAATAATTAATATAAACAACGACATCCCTACTAGTTGTACTGAAAGTGATTAAATTAATTAATTTTTAATCTAGTTTCAATCTTAAATTTTTATAAGAGTGCCTCTAGAAATAAGCAGTAACAACAAATACGAAGAGACTGATAAATCTTGTGTTTTAAATTACCCGTTTTAAATTTATTCTGGTATTATTCAAACCAAACTGTAACTGATTACCAAGTCTCTCTAAATAATCGATATCGATTTTTTTAAGAATCGAATATTGTACGTTCCCATTTTTTGATTGGCATGCTTGGTGCAATAAGTCTGACAGCTGTCAAAATGTATTTCTTAGATTTGGTTGACTGCTGCTGATGCTGATGTGATTTGGACATCTGCATATTAACACAGCAGATGCAACTTCGTTAAATCGTGGAAGATCGAGAGTTGATTGTATTGCAAATTTAACTTTAATTACTTAGTATATTTTATGAATGATTGTTGTTCACTTTTAAGTTTAAAAGTGGTTTTGACCAAGAATGTTAGACAAAACTACTTTTGACTGATACTTTTAGAATTTTTGAAATTAAAAAGTTCAGCTCTTTCAATATTATATTTTATATCATTATACGCATACGTGTATAATGCACCTTAACCTACTGGTAACCTACTGTTATTCAGCATTTACCTATGAAGTCTGCAGATTAACTAGTTAATATGGCCTGGACCGTTATAATAAAGGCTTACGCTGTTGACGAACAGGTACCATTGTTTAATTTGCTTCTTGTTCAACTTTATGATGCACATGCTTCTGTCAGTCCGTGCGAATACGTCATCCTCTAGCTCCGTGGTTGACTGAAGATCTTAAAATCGCGCCTTCGATAAAATCGCGCCTTCGATAGGGTAAACCATAGCATCCTGTGGGACAAGTTAAAACTGGTGGGTGTCCCTTACGACATAATTAGAATCCTTATTAATTGGTATAATACGCAGGTTAATGTAGTGAACTGGGATGGCTCACTCTCGGACGAGTTTGTACTGACTAGTGGGGTTAGGCTGGGTGGGCTGACTTCTCCTCTGCTGTTTAACGCTCTAATTGAGGAGCTCAATAAAACGGGTATCGGCTGTCATGTAGGTGGGAAATGTGTAAACAACCTTAGTTACGCAGACGATATGGTTTTATTGAGCCCCTCAATCGGAGCCTTAAGGAAGTTAATTTCTATTTGTGAGAGATATGCAGCAAGCCACGATTTAGTTTATAATGCAGACAAGTCTGTGGCAATGGTCTTTGGAGCGCATAGTAAAGATGTTTGTTTACCATTATACCTGAACGGCAAAAATTTGAAGTTTGTGACGAGCTTTCGATATTTAGGACATATCGTATCGAGTGACCTGAGGGATGATCAGGACATGGACAGAGAAAGGCGGTCCCTTGCTGTACGTGCAAATATGATTAACAGGAAATTTAATAAATGCAAGCGAGATTCTAAAATATATACTATTTAAAACCTATTGCCAATCGCTTTACACACCGCATCTCTGGACTAAATTTAAAAAGGAAAACTATCGAATTTTTAAGGTTCAATATAACGATTCGTTCCGAATATTGTTTCGTTTTCCGAGGTACTGTAGTGCATCTACAATGTTCGCTGAGGCACGCGTACCGACGCTCGATGCTTTGATAAGACATCGTGTGGCCAGATTTAGAAGTAATCTTCTCAAATCTGGAAACACGATTATACTAATTTTAACGCAAAATTGTAGTGAAATATTTAAATATTGGTCTAGTATGTTAAGATGTAAGTTTTAAGTTTGATGGCATTTATTTAATTTATATTTATTTTTGTATTACATTTTATTTCAATTTTTTTTTAATGTTTGTTGATTATAAGTAATTATGTTTCTTTTTTACGGGCCTTTGTTGTCTGTCAATAAATGATTATTATTATATTATTATTATTATTAAAAGAGTGATGATAGGCATAAGAATAACGCAAAGTCGAGTTACAGGTCAGATCCAAAGAATGACAGGATTCGGGAGAAGTATAGTCTCCTGCGGAATCAATGCAACAAGATGTATGGAGATTAACGACCACCGCCACATCCATAAATCAGTACTAAACGAAGATCCATGTCGTGTTTGGAACTTTTTAAGGTCTATAGGAGTTGGGAAAACACGTTCATGCCCTATTCCAAATAACGTCCATTTAAATTTGTTTAAGAGGATACCTTGAAAATGAATCGAAGTTTTGGGGGCGTATTCTTTTGTCGGTAAAGCTAACGGACGACTGAGGGAGTTTCGAAATAAAAGTGATGCAATGACTTCATAGTAGGCAAATTATGAGATAGCCATACCGAGCAAGCGCTCGGAAAAAAACTACGTAAGCGCCAAACAACATTTTTATTTATTTTAACAAAACTTCGTTATGGATTAAAAAACTGGTTTATGGGAACTTAGATATGATTATTTGCTACGCCTTAAAAATAATCCCATGAACTTATTCGTAAGAATATTGTGGTGTCATGGAGAAATGTAAATAACTACCTACTTTGCAATTTTTTTTCTATCGAGAAAATTACATGATATCGTGTTTTCCTTTTATGCAATCCAAAGTCATATAGTCAAAAATCATATACCAAAATTTTGGTTTGTAATAAATAAAACTTTAAAAAATATGTTAAATAGAAAAACCACAAAATTTTCGAGGTATCACCTTAATCAGCATTTTTCTTCTGTTTTTTGCTTGGACAATATGGCAAAATCAGTAAAACTTATTCAACTTTCATCGTTTCTCACTCCTGACTTTTCTCCATTTGTGTTCGGGCAATTTGCAGATTGTGATGTTAGGAAACACATATTCCCGATCCATTCTTACACTGTCGGAAGTTTTCTTACACTGATGATGTCTGTCGTAAAATGATCATTCCCTTGCTAGACTTTTTAACACCTATTATAACCTATATCTTAAACTTTTCATATCCTCATCTCATCATACCTTTACCCAAAAAAGCAAATCCTTCAAGTTTTTTATAAGTTGCTTTAGAAGTTGTCCAACAACAGATTAATTCCTTTTGTTTATCACACATCCTCAGTCCTCTCCAATCTGGCTTTTTATCTGGTCCTAGTACGACCACTGCGTTATTAAAAATTAAAGACGACAGCCTCCACGGTATGGAGAATAATCAAGTAACAGTATTGGTGTT